ACTTTAGTAGAGAGACAGTGCGATGCCTCCCACCGACTGAAGGCATCCGTATCATAAGACATTAAGAACGCTGTCTCCTCATCATTATAAAAAGGAGACACCTTCACAGGGGCTGAGAAACCTCTAAACAGAGACAATACACAATCTTCTTCAATTCCCTCTACCTCAAACAACTGCTCCTCTTCAACTAACTCCAATACCTGCAATATACGCAAACCCTAAACCCTAATAAACCCTAATAAACCCTAGTAAACCCTAGTAAACCCTAATAAACCCTAATAAACCCTAATAAACCCTCATAAACCTTACTAAACCCTAGTAAACCCTAATAAACCCTCATAAACCCTAGTAAACCCTAATAAACCCTAATAAACCATCATAAACCCTAATAAACCCTAATAAACCCTAGTAAACCCTAATAAACCATCATAAACCCTAATAAACCCTAATAAGCCCTAGTAAACCCTAATAAACCCTAGTAAACCCTAATAAACTCTAATAAACTGTAAACCCTGATAAAAAGACATAATAAACCCCAATCAACCCTAATTAGAGCAGCAGTAGCAGCAGCACAAGGACCCGCAACACCAGAAGCAGCAGCAGCAGCCCAAGAACCCGCAGCAGCAGCAGCAACAGCAGCAGCAGCAGCAGCAGGAGCAGACCTTTGTGGGGGGGTGCAGCAGATCTTTCTTAGAGGTCTTCCCTAGCAATCCAATAGCAACAGGAATAACAAGAGGTTTTTTATCAGGTTGAGCAGCAGAAGGTTTAGTCTTTTGTTGCAGACGCAAAATAAATTTTTTATTTGTGCTGTCGTAACGCTGCTCTTTTACTGTTATCTCAGGTGTACCTGACTGTACATACACCCCATAATCAATTCGTTATTCAGATATCTATAATTATCAACAGTAAAAGGTTTAAAACTATAAATTAATTATATATATACACATATACATATATATATATATATACATATATATTGAACAAATAGAGGAATTAATAGTTAAAGAATAACGAAATAAAAACTATAAATATATAGATAAATAAATATATAAATATATATAAATATATAAATATATAGATATATAAATATATAAATATATAAATATATAAATATATATTTACATATTTACATATATAATCAACGAATAAAGAAATAAATAATAGAGTGCGATAAAACAATAAATATATAATGCCGTAGTAAACCCCAGTAAACCCTAATAAACCCTAGTAAACCCTAGTAAACCCTAAACCCTAACCCTAAACCCTAGTAAACCCAATAAACCCTCATAAACTCTACTAAACCCCATTAAACCCTAGTAAACGCTACTAAACCCTATTAAACCCGAAACCCCAACCCTAAACCCTAAACCCTAAACCCTAAACCCTAGTAAAGCGTATAAAGTACCTGTGAGTACCACCGTTCGAACTGCGTAAAATCTTTATTATTTGCGTCTTGCATTGCCTTTCTAAAGTCGTCGCAGGTGACAGCCTGCCCGTCGTGACGCTGAAAATATAAATCCATTCCTTTGCGGAAACCCTCAGGTCCCAGTAAAGTGTGGTACCTATACACCCAAAAACCCTAAACCCTAAACCCTAAACCCTAAACCCTAAACCCTAAATTATAAATTATAAACCTTATATTATATAAACAATAACAAATAATAAATAATAAATAATAAATAATATATAGTATATAATATATAATATATATAATATATAATACATATAATATATAATATATGAT